ACCCCAGTGAGCCTGCATGACAGGTGGGGACAGGAACATAGTGCACAGTCACCAAGCTAGGCCCTCTCAAACCTCCTCTGTGGGCGGCCACAGCCGTCCCAAGCAGGGTCTTTGACGGGAAGGTGGGTGGGCATCACCAGCTGTGTCTTTGCACAAACCCACCTTCCCTGTTTCAGGTCAGGCAACAGTTGAGTCAGATGAAGAGCCATGTTGAGGATGGTGAAGTAATGGGGACCCTGGCCACCCCTTCAGGGGCCTCCTCTGCAGAGCAGGACCCCACCGAAGTTAGGGCGGTGAGCAAGCAGTCCCATACATGTCACTAACCACCCATGGGCACCCTTCACCCCCCTGGAGTATAGGCTCAGGGCCACCTTTCTCACTAATCACAAGGCACAGCCCTTCTGTCTCCCCCCAGCCCCCCCCAGCTTTGCCAGGTGCACAGGGCTCACCTAGGTCTGAGAACTCAGACAAGCAAAGGGATCTGGCCTGTGGGTATGATGACTTTTGTTCCAGAGCCACTGCTGGGGGTGGGGACCTTCAGCCCCCAAAACTACTCAGCTGCCATTAGCCCTTGTGGGACACTACTAGGGGGACCCATGCCAAGAGACAGGGCTGTCCCTAAGTAAGCAGTGGCCTGGCTGCAGGCGGTGCTGCTCTGGGGCAGGGTCTGCCTGATGCCTCTGAGATGCCCTTGCTAACAGTGCTTGCTGTGGTCAGCATTGCTTATGAAAGGACCGAGCCAGTCCCGCTACCCAGGGAACTGTGCCCTGTCTCTCCAGAGTGCGTATCAGGCAGAAACAAAATAGACAGACATGAGAGGCAGCGGGAAGGCTGGGCCCAGTCTCAGCCCTCCTGGGAGGCCTTGGTTCCAAGAGAACCCTGAAGCAGGTTCTCCACACAGCTGAAAACGCAGCTGGAGCGGACAGAGGTCATCCTGGAGAATGAGCAGACACAGCGACAGAAGCTCACCGCAGAGTTTGAGGAGGTCAGGCCCTAATACCCAACCCCTTTGGCACTGTCAGGCCTAGGCACACCAGGGACATAAGAGGAAGCAAGTGAGGGGTGGTTGGAAGATAGCCGCCGAAGCCAGGTGCAGGTTCCATGTCCTCAGGGACTTGGGCTTTGCCCTCTTGGTATACAGCCTGCTCTGTGTCCCAAGCCACAGGCTGAAGCCGAGATGCCTTTCCTTTCTAGTATGGCTTGGGGCAAGCAGGGGTGTTTTGCTTTCGGGTTGTCAGGAATCTCCACTCTAGGCCCCACTTCCTTCATGGCTTTCCCCCTCACCCCTTCTCTCCGCCAAGGCTCAGAAGGCTGCGTGCCAGCTACAGGAAGAGTTGGAGAAACTCCGCATTGCCAGTTCCTTGGGTTCTTCAGAAGCACAAGAAGCGACACAAGTGAAGGTGGTGCCCTGGGGGCTGGGCCGGGAACAGGAGTGGATGTAGGGTCTGCCCAGGGCTCTGGCAACTGTCACCTCTGAGGTGGTCAGGCAAGGGAGTGCTGATCCCACTTGGGCCTGCCTTGGACAACAGCTTCCAGGTCATCTACCCAGAGGGGAATGAGGAGCAGCTCACATTCTTGAGGCTCTTCCCACAGGCCCAGGGGGGTGGGAAGGGACCCTCTGGACCCAGGGGGAAAGACCCTAAGCCTAGAGTGTCAAACATGGGCACCACTAAGCATATAGTGATTTAAACAAAATTTAAAGTCCAGTTCTCCTGCCACATTTGCCAAATGGCAGATGTTAAATAGCCACAAGTGTCAAGTGGCTTCCACTCTGGACAGTGCAGCTGAGAACATTCCGTCATCAGACAAAGTGCTCGGGCCAGGCTGGTAGATGACCAAGAGATGGCCAAGTCCTCCTCCCAGCCTCAAGCACTGGTCCCACAGGCTTCACTGCAGTGCCCTGGTGCGTCTTCAGGTTTAGGCTGATTCCCTTTCATCTCTGGCTCCAGGAAAGGCTAGAGAAAGAGAAGAAGCTCACAAGTGACCTGGGACGTGCAGCCACTAAGCTGCAGGAGCTTTTGAAAACGACCCAGGAGCAGCTAGCCAAGGAGAAAGACACGGTGAAGAAGCTGCAGGAGCAGCTGGACACAAAAGTAAGTGCCACCCAGCCAGGGCCACCACCCCAGAGGGCCCAGCCTGCTTAGCAATGGGGTGTGGTAATGGGGTCAGCTGCTGGGTGGTGGTGTCCAGCGGGTGGCCAGGACGGAAGCCAGAGGACATCAAACCTAGCCTAGACACATGACCCGTCCTTACGGCGCTTCCTCTTGGTGGGAAGAGAGCCTGTGACCTCCACTGCCTGCTCCTGGCCCCTCTCCAACCTGCCTCTGCCCGACAACTGCCCCTCCCCCTGCCCCTGCTTTACCATCGGGCCTGCAGAACACATTCTTGCCCATCCTCTCCTCCAGCCTTGGAGTCAGTTTTGGTCCCTTACCCATCTTGTGTTAGGCTCTGGAGACAGGATGTGTGGGTTATAAAAACGCAATAAAGGGAGATGCCGTTAGACCCCTCTACCCCATTGTAGACTTGGGGTGAGTTCCTTGATCCAGCCTCTGTCTTATTCTGCCCTCTTCTTTCCACAGAAAGATAGTAGCAGCTCAAAGGAGGGAACCTCAGTCTGAATCTCCTGGAAAAAGAAGTTACTGTTTAACTTACCAAAATGCCTTACACATTCCTTAAGAAAAACAAAACAAAACAAAAAAACCCACACCCACCAACAGCATTATCCAGGCCCAACTTGCGGTGACTCCGAGAGAAGCCATTTGAGATGAGAGTCAAAAATAAATCTTCCAGACCCCCGTTTATAAAAGAAACTTTATAACCTTTGATAAACATTATAACCTTTGATAAACACTATTCCCGGACCAGCCCTGGACCACCACCGAGCAGATGCCAAAGCTCATAATCCACCACTGAACAGAAACCAGTGTGCTGGGGAGCCCGGGCTGGGCTAGGCTGTCTTGTGTGTCGGTCAGTGCAATGTTTTGTCTTTTTTCCACAGGGGCAAGGGAGCGGGGTGGGGATTCGCAGAGACTGTGGAGAAGACTGGAGGGGCCAAGTCAGCTACCTCACCCCTGGAGGAAGCTGCCAACCAGAACTCGTGTGACCTCCTAGATGGGATGTTAATGCCATTAAAACCTATGTTGTCCCTGGTGCTGGCGTCTCTGTCTTCTGTGGGGCTACGCCCACCAGCCTGTTGGACTAGGGGTTAGGGACCAAGAGGGATGGCTCTCTCAGGTGAGACCAAGGTCTTTTGGGGGGAAGCCATGGGATCCACAACTCTTGCCTACCAGTGGGAGGTGTCACACTTGCTCCGAACCTCCCCCGAGTTGCTGTGTGCTGGCCCACGCATCTCGCCTCCCTGCAGAAGGAAGAAGTCTGCAACACTTGGGGACAGCAGTGCTCTGCTTCTAATGGTGTTGGCTGTTTTGAGCAGGACTAGGTAGCCGAGGCTGGTGTGGGGCATGAGCTCCAGGAGTAAAGAGAGTATGTTCTTGAGCTTGGACACACAGTGATGCCTCAGGGTTTCCTACCCACCTAAGGTAGCCCAAGGCAGCCTGGTTCTAGACTCTGAGCAGTGGTTCTCAACCTTCCCTAATGCCGTGACCCTTTAATATAGTTCATGTTGTGGTGACACACACACCCCACAACCATAAAATTATTTGTTGCTACTTCATAACTAATTTTGCTAGTTATGAATCAGGAAACCCCTGTGAAAGGGTCGTTTGACTCCCAAAGGGGATTGAAAAAGAGGCAAAGAACAGGATTGTCAACAAATGCAATCCTTTATTCCAGTTGTGGCTCCTTTCCACTAAAACTAACTCATAGACCTGTCAATGCCCTATCCTGGGGAAGGATGCTGCCACAATGCAACGAATGGCCCTTGTTCTGCAGTCCAGCTGGAGCCCTGTGTGGGATCATTAACATACTCCAGATTGGGGCATGACTATGATGCCCAGAAGGCAGTGAGCCTGGATCACTTGCACTGCACATGGACCAGCCAGCACTCTGGAGCTGCCCTGTAGAGGAAACCACTCAACTACGCCACTCTGCTCAGAAATTAGTATTTTCTGGAATAACCACCTGTAGCAGCTCTGGCCGAGTGGTTGTCGCTGTGCCCTTGAACCGTGTGATCACTACTCGATGAGGTGGTGGCCCAGCTGTATTCTGCTGCAGAACCACTGGGTAGTTTGAACCACCCGCCTTTTGGTTAGCTGCTCATGACTTAAAGATGGTAACTTAGCTCCTATCTCAAGAGTAAGGAAAAACCCAAAACAACCTTCCAAAACTTTTTTTTTTTTTTTTTTGCAATTGGTTAGCATTTGTGGAAATATACATTTTCTGGAAACATTTTCTTACTGACCAATGTCAGTATCAGCTCCTTTGGGCCTTGGTTTGATACCAGAATCATTGGATGTGTTTGTTTGGAATCTTGGGCCACAACTTTAGGAATTGAAGATCCCCGCCCCAACTCTCTTCAGAAAGTTTCCCTACATCCCATTTGAGGGGAAACAAATCTGATGTTGGGGAGGCTTTCACACTACCTTCCCTGTGTCCTGAGTGAAGCCCTGGCTGTCAGCACATACCGCATACCTTCCTGCTTGTACTGCAGCACGGCGCACAAGCTGAAGCCACGTTTCTACCACATGCCCGAATGCCCAGTCCTGGGCCATGATGCGGTGGGACAATATACACTATGCCTACAAGCAATGATTTGCTATAATGACAAACAAGGTAAAGAATGACAAGTGGCGTATTGATAAACCAATAGCCAATATTACTTTGTAGACGATTTAAAACGCCTTTGTTATGTTTTTGTTTTACTAAAAGAGGGTAACATTTCTCAAACGATAAAAGGCCTGGCATTTGGCTGTTTTCCTAACTGGTTCATTCGATCAGAAAAACAAGAGGGGTGGCTTTACCTTGAAGAAAAAGCTTTTGACTTCCATTTGGAAGGCAAAATCCTTTACCTCAAATTCATCCATAAATAATTACACCAGAGAGAAATTAAAAATGCTTCCTTTATTACATAAAGCCAGAACTTCTCGTTTCAACTGCATCTCTGCTATTAGGATAATCAATCCAGTCCCCCCGGGGCTGCTGCTTGGGAGTGTCGTCCATCACCGTGCTCTCACCTCACTCATGCACGCAGTTCTAGACGGTGATGTTCTCTAAGAGCCGAGTAAACAATTACTACATACTTGTGATTCCTTAGTTGTGCCAGAGGCAGCAAATTTCAAAGGACACAAAGATAATCGTGGATATCCTAGCTTGTCAATATAGCTTCCTCGTTTCATTAAATTATATTACACTTGAACTCTATATTTGCCTTATGTCAATTACGTTACAAAATATTGCACATTCTCCTGAGGATACCATGATTTCCAGGATGCAATGTCAACCCACCAGAACAGTGTCCTAACTTCAGAATAGCTGAATAGAGACTGTGCCTTGATGCAGGGACTGCTTCCTATATTCCCACTAAGTGCTGTAAATGGTGCTTTGCGAGATCAGCATTGGTTACAAGTGTACAAACGTGAAGCAATCTACATTACACACTTGGTAGAATTGAAGACTGTCTGACTTAATCTGACTGTGGTGTATTAGTGTCGCTATGTGCCAGGAGAAGAATGATTTTGTTATTCGGTTTAAATTAACAAAGAAGGATGAGTTGAGGTCAAAATTATAGCCAAAGTATGAACAACACTAAGCAAAAGAGACAAAGTAATTGCTGAATTAAACAAGGATACAATCGGTCTCTTCATATTGTGTTGTTATGGTCTGCATCATTGAAAATCCTGAGCTTAATGATTCTTACAAGCCAACTCATTAAAGCAGGCATTTGGCCAATTATAATTTCACACCAATAGAACTTCCAATTTATTGAGGGCTATTTGCACATGGTAAGAGTATTTTATTTACGTTAGAAAACAAGACAACTCCACTGGGAGGCCCTGGCCTAAATCCATTTGCTTTATTAGAATAGGAGTAGAGTAACATGAAACACGGAAGCTCTTGTTTTGTGGCACTGGATGATGGTCTACACAGGACACCCTTCAAAAGCTACAATTAAGGATCCACCTAGCTTCTCGGCGATACAAGCCCGATTGAGGTCTTCTGGTCCATTTGCTTGACATTCGTGTTTTATGCCTAAGGAAGAAAAAATAATGAATTAGAATGATGGCAGTAGTTTACCTTTATCTTGAAGCTACCACACCGTTCATTTAAAAGAAACGGTAGCAGATACCATTTTGGACAAACTGTGGCATGTGTAGAATTATGGAATACCACATAATAACGAGAAGAAACAGTCCCTAATTATCATGCATCGAAATGGATGACCCTGGTAAACAATACGTTGCCTGAGAGGCTAGACAAAAGCATGCGTTCTCTTAGATTCCCTCTGTCTACGCACGACACAGAACGAGGCAGAGCTAATTTATACTGTTAGAAGCCAGGAGATATTGTTACCTTGTGGAGGCACAGGGGCTGTGATCTCTAGGATTGCTGGCCATTAGATCACAAAATAGGTTCCGTTTGTGAAAATCCATCGATAGATATATATGCACACACACAAAACGCTGCCATTGAGCCGATGCCAACACATAGCAACTAATGGGTCGCAGCCAAACACATGTTACACAGACACGGGGGCGTCATAAAGTCTGGGAAATTCCACAACATCTTCCATAAACTTCTTGAAGTCCCCTCTTACTACTTCAGTGAAAATTGAAAAGCAGTTCTAGTTATTTTTCACTTTTTAAAAGAGAAATTATATATATATATTTTTTTGAGAAATAATATATTTTGATTGTAGTTGATTTAGTCAACTTAAGCAGTAAGGTTCGTATTTACAATTTGCTCTACAAAACAGCTTCAGTGGGATTATAATTTACATTTAAGAAATGCACCACAGTGGAAATGATATAAAAAGAAATGAACAAAAACTACAACAAAAGTCATCACCCAATCAAGCAATTCCCTTTCCTGCAAGATAATACAGAATAAGAAAATGATTACATCCATTCTGATTTGTTTTTCCCCCATTTGTGTCGATGCTGGAGTCACTTTAAATTGTCAGTTAAACTCACAGAACTTGCCCAGAACAGGCAGCCTCACAACTCAGGAAGGGAAAGGAGTTGTTTGCCTGACAGACTAAAACAAGGACAAACCTATTATGGGCAAACACGAAAATAAAAGCCAGTCCCTGGAAAACAAAACCAAACCCCATGTGGGCCAGGCCCTGGTGAGGTGGATCACTCAGCTGTTTGGAAGGCAGGAAGGTAGTAGGGAACCTGATTTGACTAAGCTTTCACACCATCCATGCTGGACCTCTCATTCTATAAGCGAGAGAAGCAAGGCCACACAGCCATAAGTTTTAGACCTCAGCAAAGGTGCTTGGTCACTTGCCTCATGCACTTCCCACCATACCAACAGCTCTCCTGGCTGAAGATTATTAAGTATGGCCAGGCCATCTCATCAGTACCCCAATCCCCCCGTGACAAAACAACTCAATAATTAAATGTACCTGTCTCTGGACACAGATGAGTCAATTACCTAGAATAATAATACAACTGAAAACTAAAGATAGAGATATTACACAGACCAACAACAAAAAATGCTCTTGGTGTTTGTTCTGGTTTCCAGTCCTGTTCCCAGGGTCAATGGGGCACTGCTTCAGAAAACTGCATTAGGGAACCCTATCAGCTTGCAGCTTAGATACGGTATCCCACTATATTTTCAGTTACTGAGTTATACTACTTAACTTATCGTCCCAGTTTTAAATGAGAAGAACTCGGACCAAAAAATTACAGGAAAAGAAAAATATTTGAAAAGAATTCGGTATTAAGGGACTTCCAAGAAAAGCTGTGTATGGATGGACCCGGGTGGCTAGTTGGCTGTGCATTGAGCTGCCAATCATAAAGTCAGTGGTTTGAACCCACCAGTCCCTCTGGAGCTTTTCAATTGGCTTAAAGGTTTGGTTGGACACCCAGTTCTCTGTCCTTATAGGGTAAGGTGACCAGACGTCCCGCTTTTGGCGGGACAGTCCCGATTTTTAACAAGAATGCACGACAAGCTAGGGTATATGGTTATCAATGGTGTCCCGCTTTACCGGTGTTAAAATCTGGTCACCTTATTATAGGGTCATCACTGAGTTAGAATCAATTAGATGGCAGTGGCCTTTTTCCTTTTAGTACAGGAGGCTATGAAATATATACTAAGACTACAAGTCGGATATTGCAAGGCCAGAACACAGCTTCAGAAGATTGGAAAATAAAGAAGAAAATTAAAAATGCACGAGGGCAATTTAGTGTCGAAAATAAAAAGCTGAATAGCAATTTTCAAAAATATTTTAAAGATCAAATTTTTCTTCAAATGTATGCAGTAAACATTTCAGAACACATGTTAAATGTTGGAGGTGAGGCAGTTTTAAGAATTTCTGGGCCCAGGTAGAAGTGCCATACCAAGATGGGAGCATTTTAATTTTAACAAAGGAGTCTCAATGCTGACAGACCCAGTTGGGGTTTCAGAACATTTGAATCTCTTTATTGTGCCAAACTCACTGTGAGTCAGTCAATTACAATCATAGCTATGCTGTAGGGCAGTGGAACTTCTTCTGAGGCGTCTGAGGCCGTACATTGTTATGGAAGCAGGGAGGCTCATCTTTCTCTTGCAGAATGGCTGGCGCGTTCAAACAGCTGCCCTTGTAGTCAGCAGTCAAACACAACCCAATAAGCCATCAAGGCTAATTATTGTACTGTAACTCTTATCCCTGGCCCCCTTTTAAGATAAATTAGAACTACCCACTACTCAGTTCCTAATAAAGGTGAAGCGATACTTTGGGGAAATTTCAATTCATGTAATTTGCAATGTTCAGATATCTGGGTATCAAAGAAAATCATGTGAAGTAAAACGACATTAAGTATTTAATGCAATACAAACAACTTTAAATAAAGCAAGTGTGCACTTCCTCTAGCTCAGGCTAGCTAACACTACATTAAAGTATTCAGCTTTTTTACATCAGTGAGCAGAGTACAGAGGGCATATGGCACATGATCTGCATCTCAAAAACTAGAGCAGAGAGGAAGAAACGGATGCCATTTTTGGAATCAGCGGAACAGGTCTAGCATTTGAGGCACCAAATTATGTGTTGGCCAGTGTTATTCTTTCCCACTGACAAGCATTTCTATTGTGCAACTTTATAACTTTCACATCAATTACATTCAAAAGCAAGAGCAAATGCATTCCTATGTCATGACTAACACATACCAATGAAGTCGCCACCTACTATCTGAAAAACCTGGTGGTGGCTCCAACCAGTGATCAGATGTTAAGTACACAAAGTCCAGAACCTAGGATTTCTAAACATAGGCAGAAGCAGCAAGAAAACCTTGTTTTCTTTTGCAAAACAAGCACTGTTTCCTTCTGTGTGCCCCAGTTTCCCCGGACACTGCAATGTGCTCCTTAAAAATGTGGCAGCCTCCATTCCAGATAGTTCCCCCCACCACCACCTCTATAAATCTAGAGATTAACTGACACCATACCTTGAAATTTCTTTTTGATTGCATCCTTGGAACTTGCGTAGATCATTTTACTTTTCAGAGGTGCTAGCTCTGGTGCCCTGGACAAAGATACCAAAATGGGAAAATTGGCTTAAAGTACAATTTAAATCTGGTTAAGCATGTTAAATGGGAGGACTTCAGAATACATTTTCTAATATTGCATCAAGTCTATTCCCTACCTCTTTAGAGGGGCACAGGCCCTCAGGGCTACTTGGACTAATAGAAAAGCTGACTACTGTTTACACCCTCCTAGTGGGGCCTTGAAGTAAAGGCCAGGACTTCCACTTCTGTAGAGAGTATAGCCCAGAAAACCCTACCCAGTGGTTCTGCACTGTGACACACGGGTCACCATAAATCAGAAGCAACTGGAGGCCATGGGCTTGGGAAAATAACTTGAGCATGCCTGAAGTAGACCAGGATGGGACAGAAGTTGAGAACTACGGATTAAAATCTGGATTACTGTGTCCAAGAATAAATGAGTCAACACTGGGTAATTCATTCTATTACTCAGTTGTTCTACTTTTCACAATAAAAATCTTTAATTTTTATTAATAAAAACTTTGGTTGGGGCTAATAACCATATTTACACACGCTGGGTTTTTTAGTTTTTGTTTTGATATATATCTTTTTCATTAGAAAAATATTCCAAGTAGAGACAAGTATAGAAAATAATCTAAAAGTCACAAATCCACAATTCATTTTGGAATACTTGCTTCAGATAGTTTTCTGCAAACATATAGAAATGAAGTAAAAGTTGCCTTTTTACCCTTCCTTAGCCCCTTCACTGCAGCCGTGGTAGCAGAGTGGGTACATGTTGGGTTAGTAACTGTGAGTAGTTGAAACCACTACCCACATTCCATGGGAGAAAAAGGAGGCTTTCTACTCCAGCATAGTGTTTGTCTACCCTATTCTACTGGCTCACTATGAATCAGCGGAATCAACTTAATGGTCCATTCAACCATTGGAGTGCTTGTTTCCTATCTGGCTTGCACAACCAAACACGGTCAATTATCCAATGAGGAGTCAAATCCAGTTTTAATTATTCTCCTGGGAAAAGAATATTAAGCCTACAATTATCATCTCAGGTTTTTAATGTAGCTTTCACCAAGGTAGTTTTTTTTAAAAGTTGAATTAGGTAACAACACAGTCATTGTCTTAATGAAGGTGCGCTGGTGGGGTAGTGAGTTCTTTGTTGGGTTGCTAACCAGAGTCCACAGTCTAAACCTACTAGGCTGCTTCTACCCCTTGAGAAAAGGTGAGATTGTCTGCTTCCATAGAGGTTTATATTCTTGGACACCCAAAGGAGCAGTTCTACTCTGCCCTATGGCGTCGCTGTGAGTCTGGATCAACTCTGTAGCTGTGTTTCTGTTTCAACTGTCAACATCACTAATATGTTGCATTCTCTACAATCTTCAGTGCCTTCCCTCTCTTGAATGAATACTTGAAGCAACGTTTATACTTCACCATTCTCTTTGTCACCAAGACTTCAAGTTACCAGAAATGTGGACAATGGATAGGAAAAACGTCATCCTACTAGGAACTGCTTATCTCTGACGTCTTCTTGTTCACTATGAATCTTCAGGATAAAATGAGACTAGACAGGATAAACACTTAAGCACCGAGTGGTTCCAGTCATTAATACCAGGGGCTTGGGGGAAGGGGAAGGAAAAAAAGAGGAGCGATATCAAGGGCTCAAACAGAAAGTAAATGTTTATGATGGCAACATATGTACAAATCTGCTTGATACTACTGATGTATGGAATGTTATAAAAGCTGTAAAAGCCCCAATAAAATGATTTTTTTTTAAACCCACCAACCTGAGCTGGTGTGTGGACCTCATCTAACACTCATCTCTACCCCCAAAGGAGAACAGATTCTGTCCCTCAGAACCCAAAAAGGGAATCATCTCTTTTACTTTCTCAGATGCTTATCTTCCCAATTTTAGGTCCACCAGGGCAGACAAAACCATAATAAATAACCTCCGGTCTAGCAGATGCTTTCCACCAGCAAATTTTAGTGGTACTTTTCTTATGCAAATAGGACAGGAATGTAGAAAAACCATTAGCTGTTCAAATTTTACTCTAACCAATTTTTGGAAATAATTTATATAAGAACCATACCCTGGACCCTGGACATAACTTGTCATGGGAAACTCCTCTAAAGACTTTACCTTTTCTTTTTAAAAATAGTATAACTAACCATTTCTATCTCTTCCTACTTTTTCAAATGTTCTTTAATAAGAATGTATACTTTTTTTTTAAGTATAAAACATGGGGGGGGGTACAAATATGTGCTAGCCCTTTAGTTGCCACATTTAACACTCGGCTATAAATCCTAAAAAGGCAGAGGTTTTCTGTTTATCACGGCAGTTTTCCCAGGTCCTAAAATAGTACATGTTGTGGGGTAGAAATAAGAATTTAATGAATGCACCTTCCTTCAAACCAGGATATGCTATTTTAAGTCTCATCTACCACTACACTATTGTTAGGTACACATGGTCATAACTTCCAGACTCACTAATCTCAGGCGTGCATCCCTCATAGCATCTTAGCTTAACTTAGTAACACTTCAAGAAAAACCACAATGAAGTCTATTCCAATGCACAGTGACCCTACAGGGTAGGGTAGAACTGCCCCTTTGGGTTTCAGAGGCAGAGTGTGTAATCCCTTAGCTCTCTCCCATGGAGCAGCTGGAGGTTTCCAACTGCTGACCTTGTGATTAGCAGCCCAACTCCTAACCCACGAGGGCACCTGCCTCCTGTTTTAATCCAGTAACGGTTTGCTGAGGCACAGTGAGGTGTGATAGAGTTCTCTTCCTTTCAGTCGCAACGTCCCATCCATGCACAAAGTATCATGAGAATGCCCACCCCAGCCCACAGGCTGTGAGTCTATTCTGACTCACAGCAACTCTATAAAGCAGAGTGAAACTGCTCCAGGTGAACCACCTCATCTTTCTCCCTCAGTGTAACCGGTGAATTCCAATTGACAGCTTCTGGGTTAGCAACCCAATGATTAATCCACGGTGCCACCAAGGCACCTACTAATTAGATTCCCTAGCTTCCAGAGGGAGGCAGCAGTGGCCCTCTCTTCTGCCATGTTACCACTGCTGCCTCCCTGCAAACTACTTCGCATATCATGGAATGTGGCATATAATTAAATGAGGAATATGTATGAGACTTTTGGCTCAAGCTTAAATTCAAATATTAATTTACTTGTAAAGAGCAGAATTACTAATTTAAAGAACCTTTTCAAAACAAGGCTATGTAAATCAACTTATTGTACTTTTTCCATTATGTAGAGTAGGCTGTTCAACAAAACTGCAATTATAAAAATGTTCTATTATCTGTGATATCTAATAAAGTCACTTTTAAAACGTGGTTAACTGAGAAGACAAATGTTTAATTCAAATGAAATTAAACTTAAATAATCACACATAATGTAAAGTCAAGAGAGTGTGTCCATCTTGAGACTAGGTACTAATGAATTTGCAATGCGTGACAAAGCAGGCCAGCTCCAAGTATTTTCAAAGCATATGATTACTAAAGAGGCAAACAAAGCCATTAAAATCTGTACTATTAAAGATCACTGACTAAAAGTAGTACTTATTTGACAAAGAGAGGAATCTTTTATTGTTCCCATTTTCTCTTGTAAAAATAGCCTACAGAACAAGTCTACCATAATCCCTTGGCCATTTCTGATGAACAGTAATAGACTTGAGACCCTTATCCACTTTGGGCTGATGTCTTGTAAACAAGCCACTGCCCACAGGCTGCAAAAAGAAACTACTTCTAAGTTGACAGTTCCTTCTTGTGGACACTTGGTCTTCCTCACTGCACTGCTTTCTTTTAAAACTGCTCCACTGTACTATTAATCTACAATAAAACGTTTACGTTTTCAGCAGTTTGTGCTCTGTGTACCAGAATATGACTAGCAGCTACCCTACTAGACAGTGCGGGCATAGATTACCCAAGTAGAACATGGGTATTTGGCAAGTGAGAGGTTGCATGCTGGAGTGGTAAATTGTTTTCTAAGTATTCTAAGAATTCACAGACAGATTTTATCTCATGAGCAGTATGCTGAAGCTGCATAGAATCTTGCTTCTTTCCCCTCCCCGGCAAAAAAATCAAATATTTAAAAAATTTTAATTAATTAAAAATCAAATATTGAAAGTCATCTTCTCTCAAGTAGATAAACAGTGGTCAGAGGATTGTTCTGCTCACACAAACACTACTATTGGCTAAGACCTTATAGAACCTGTACATAAAAATGAATTATCAGTAAGAGCTTAAATATCAGTTACTTTGGTTTCAGGAACTGGGAACTTGAAGTGCCAAAGAGATTAGCTCAGCTTTACAGGTGCTTACCACAAAAAAAACATCAGCTCTTCCTTTCTGGACTCCTTAGTTTCAAAGCTGGCGTCATACAGAGCATAGCGACAATCTTTTTCAGGAAGCATCCCCACAAAATGCTTGAAAGGATCCGTTATAGTGACTCCAACATCTCCAACCAAGATCTCTTTGCCTTCTTCAACAATGATGCACTTCTTGTCTGCACTGAGACAAAAAATGACCGCCTTCTTTCTTTTTTTGATCTCTTCTGGTGTGGAGCACTTCCGAACTTTCATGTCATAGAAAATGCGACATACTTCATCAGCAACTTGCACTCCTGAAGCCTCGAATGAGAAAGATGAGAATTTTGATCATGTCAAGTATAAAACACTAATTTTTGGTTATAGAAGTGCAACAATTATAAATGTTAAGACACATTTACCACACAACGAGAACAATCTGAGCTATCATCAGTACTCATTTCATTTATCAAACTTCAAAAAGTATTATACATACAAGCCATTTACTAATATAATGTGAGGATAAGGAATGATTTGACTTCAATAGTGCCTGTTATTCGAAACAATCCCAGATATTATAAAATCTGGAAAGAAGTACTTTTTGAATTGCCAAATTCTTTTTTAAAGAGGCTGCTATAGCCTAAGTAAATCATCTCACCAGTTTCCAAATTTTTTTCAAAATACATAGATATCAAAGATATTGGGATGGGAAAATTCCATTCCCACAGCATACCTTTCCCAAATAAAAGAAGAATTTAGTAGGATTTTGTTCTCAGATCTCACAATTACATTGGTCAACATTCAGTAATTATTGGTCACTTACCATTAAAGCTAAAATTACAAAATCAGTAAGATTAAGAAATTAAGAAGCAATAAGAAAGTGTTATCAAAGAAGATAGTTTGATTTTGGATTGTACTAACCAGGCGGAAAAAAAATCTTTCAATAAGCTATGCTTGTTATTTTGAGATGAAGCAGTTTAACTAAGATCTTTAAGACAAAATACCTCAAATTAGGTGTGCTGTTAATATGAGCTTTACTCTATAAATGAACATGCTTCCACTAACAACTTAAAAAAAAAACCTGCTAGCTTTTCTACAGCAAGAAATAAAAAACTTAAATAGCATGTAGACACTACACAAGCAAATTAATGTCTTAGGACTGACAGGGAAGACCTGTCATATTAAAGTTTCAGAGCCTTAAGGAATAAAATGTTACAGGGGGGGGGGAAGCTAATATTATGTACTATTTCCATTCTATGTGTTAGAACTGACTCCATGTTAATGGGTTGGTGTACATCACAATTACATGAGCTAGATACAGTTGCTATTTGATAACCATTTTGTTTTTGTTTTCCCCTTTCCTTTTCCATTCTTCGTGTATGATGTCGTTTCAGTCTCTTCTGGAGCTAGTTTGTAACTTCATGTGGGATACTGAGCCTGGTGGATTTGTTTTAATTTTCTTTAGTATCAACTTGAGCAAAAAGGTTTGTTTGGTAGTTGGCTTTTTTTCTGACTAATAATACTGAATTTGTTTCTCCATTGTCTCTTACCACAGACACAGTTGATAGTCGCCATTTATATTGTTGGAAAATATTGTTTGCAATAAATTATTAGTCTTATAAAATTCTATCATGCACTTAGGGTCCATTCAATCCCTAAATTTCCAAATACTGTCCCTTGGTTCCAACATTCACATTCCAGTCACCAGATACTATCAATGTACCTTGTCCACGTTTGATCAATTCTAGACCCAGAAGTTGGTAAATTTCTGTAATTTCTTCATTTTCAGCATTAGTGCTTAGTGCATAAATCTCAATAATAGTTGTATTAACTGATCACCCTGATAGGAATTCTCTGGATCTTAGTCTACCACTGGCACTTCAGGATAGATCTTGAAATGGTCTTTCTGACCATGATTGCAATGCCATTCATTCTTCAATCTGTGATTCCTGGCGTAGGAAAACATGACTGTCCAACTCAAAATGACCAAGACCAGTCCATTTCAGCTCACTAAGGCACAGGGCATCAATCTGTACACATTCTATTTCATTTTTCACGACTCCAATTTTCCTGGCTTCATACATTCCAACTATTAATAGATGTTTACACAGTGCTTTCTTCTCATTCAGCCCTGAAATGAATTCAGTTTATTAACAACTTGAAGATTAAAAAGGCAACAACCTGATATTAAAGCCTTTATTAAGAGAGCGACAATCCATCATAAACCTCCACTAACTAGCTATGTCTCCTTGACCAGAAAAAAGCTCTAAATTATGTTAGTTTCTTCAACTGCGGCCTCTTTTGGTGCAGCAAATGGTTAATGTGTTCGGCTGTTAACTGAAAGGTTGGAGGTTCAAGTCCACTCAGCGTTCATCAGAAGAAAGAGCTGCCTGGAGATCTATTTCTAAAGTCGTAGCCAGTAAAAACCCTTTGAGGTTAAAATTCTACTCTGACACCTAGGAGCTCACCATCATGAGTCAGTCACCTCAGTGGCACTGGTGGTGGTCTTTGACTGATTCTGAAAGGAATTATTTAATCAACTTTTAATGTGCACAGGAATTCTCTGGGGATACTGCTCAACAGTTTACAGAGTCTGAGTTAGAATGTATGGGGTAGAGTATGAAGTTCTGTAATTCCAACAAGCTCCAGATGATGATCACTAAATTTGAGTTATAAAGTTTTTTTTGTTTGTTTGTTTGTTTTTTAGGGGAGGGCCTGAACGCAGTCCCCCACTACCACAAATTATGCAGTCGAGTTTCCCACATCTGGGGAAATCACAGGCGTCAGCACATCCGGAGTGCAATGGGTAAACCTTGCCCTGGGAAAACCACCTTCGTGATCATGGGATCTCCCCTGCCAGATAAGTATAGAGTTATAAAGTTTTATGGAATATAATAGAACCTTAGCTCACTGCTATTTACTTCTTCTGTTATAGGTTTGATTTTTATAATGAAAACAACAATGCTACAAATGGCTTACAAATATTGACAGGTTGAAAGTTAAATCATCTGGGGGGG